ATGAATCCTGTCCTTGGTCTCTCAACATAGACACACACATTTACTGAAAACAACTGAAAATTCTGATTCTTGGCAATTGAAATCAAACGAACTGTTCTTAGGCCTAGCATCAAAGCTGTAAAGTGTTTGCTATGGTCATAATTCGGAATTAGCCTCCATTTGTCTAACAATAAATTGGACTGTTGATATAAACACTTGCTGTCCCATTTGAAGTTAGATGCCGTATTGTTTCCTGTTTTGGGAGAGGGATAATCCTAATGGATTATTACACAAACGTATCAAACAGAAAGCATTTAGAGCCAAACAGAGTGTCTGCCTTCATACACACAGATATGAACCCTTAGGATAAGTAAGTTAATGGTAAACATAAACAGGAGAGTTAATATTTGTTCTACTTGATGTTGTTGATTGGTTTAACAAATCCTTTGTGGGCTATCTGTGTTGAGCAATTCTGCACAACGCAGTTGAGCTAAATTACATAACAGTTTATATGATCACAATCGGTAAATTGTTACTCAGACTGTAAAGTCCTATCTAGTAATCCTGCCATATTTCTAAAGCAAATTGCTCCTTAATTGAAACCTGCTTCAATATAAAAATACAGCCTTTTCAATGAGTCATCCATTTTTTCTTCCTTACGGTTTGTAAAGGCTTCCAGCAGTTTAAAGCGAGGGTTAATTTTGCATTAAGACCATTGCCTCCTAGTTTCTTTCAAATAAAGCCAGGGGAAGTTCAGGGGAAGGCTCTTTCCTTTGATAATGAAGCTCTCCACGCTAATGATGCATGCAGGCTCCCTTGGATCCTCTGAATTAGAAATACTGGTGTGTGTGAGTGCTACTCTGCTTCATTAACATTAAAGAGAGGTAGATTGGTGGCTATTTAGGGCACAGTGAAAACGCTGGCTATTTAGGGCAAATGGAAATGGTGCTAATTGTGGCTGGTAATTCCATTAGCAGAGTACTTCCATTTTGGTGTCTGTTTGGCACATAGGTGAAAAAAACAAGCACTCTGGCATCCTTTCAAGGGAATATAGTCAGGCTCATTGTTGCCTAGTAGAAGTTAACTTTTGCACACAGCTGCAAAGTTTTTTAGGCTCCTAAAATATTTGTTTCTGTGCACTAGCACTATACGCAGGGCGTGTGTTTGTCGGTGGCAACACCTCAAGCAAGGCAGGCGAAAGTCAGGGACACAATATTCCAGGCTGAGGAAACCCCGGCATCATAGAGACTTAAGGCCCTAAGAGGTCAGGTAGGCTTTCTGTCCTACTCTCTTTCCTTCTTAGGTCATGAACAGACTTCCACATGTAGGCCAGGGAATCCAGAATATCTTATAAAGAAACCATGCAAAGCCTTCTTCCTCAAAAAGGCCTTTTCAGCATTAAAAAATGGCATTTTCACCCCAAATTTTACTGTCAAAACTGCCTGTCTTTCTGTCCCAAAGAAAAAGAACAATTCACCGAGGAGGAAAGTTGGTAGTATCTGATTCAAGCAAAACCATAGCCTAACTTTTAACCCTTTGGAGAGAGAACTTGTTATAGGTGGACGTACTGGGAAGGATGCATTCACTTAGCTTTAGCCATCTAGAAGTTAGTTGTCCAGTTAAAGATATAGTTTTTTGGGGGTCCTTTTATAATCTCCTGTTACGACTGGTGTCCACCAGAGTCAGAATCAATCACCTCATACACTAGCCAGGGAGCCTACAGAGCTAGTGTGGAATTGCCACCTAACTTTCTGACAGTTAAAGCAGGTGACTTGTGTCCCTCCTCGAATCCAAGCAGAATTCACAGAATCACAGAACAGTTGAAGTGGGGAGGACCTCTGGAGATCACCTAGTCCAACCCCCCTGTTCCAGGAGGGTCACGTTGAGCAGGTTGCCCAGGACCCTGGGATTGCCCCTTGCTGGTTTTCTTCTCTGCCTTTATAACTTCTCCAGAGTACTGGGGAGAGGTCCCTGGGAAAAGTGGTCCGAGCAATCTTATCAGAGTGTTCTAGGGATGAAGACTGCTGTAAAAATGCAAGGATTCAAGCTGCACAGAAGATGGGTCTGAGCCTCTGTCACTTGCTATGGTATTGTATACTTTTGTAACTCAGTAAAGTGATTTCTGATTTGCAGAAGAATTTAACCTTGTATGTGGTGTGCTACTGCGGCTAGAAATGTTTTCCTGAATACCTGTGCAGGTGCTGATAACTGTGGCAATAGCCCGTTTGTTGTCATTTACTTGCTTAATTAGCAGCCTAATATCCTGGTCCAGCTAATGCCTATGAGAGGAGGTTTATTAGTAGTACGAAAGCCGTTTAAACCTTATAAACTCCTTCCAATCAGTTTCATTGGTCTGCCAATATCTTCTGGTTGAGTAATTCTTTGCTGATTCACACTTCCCCTGTTTCCGACTGCTGTTTCTCTTCTGAATGTTTCTGGGTAATCCGAGCATCCTCTGCTTAAGTGACAGCCACCAGAACGGCAAAAAATAGGAACTGATTTAAAAAGGGAAATAAAAATGTACAGGCAACCCTCCCCCAGGATGATTGCTATTGTATATCCTCTTCTAGGCAGTAAGGGGAAAAACAGCCAACAATTGCAGACACGAAAAGGCAACTCCCTAGATGACATGAGTTTCAGTGTTGTCTCTCTTGTGTAAGCGGGCCATATGCAGGCTGGAGTGCTGGGTAACATGCTGAGATGTCTAGCTGAGGAATAATACTCTGGTATTTAGAAATATCATTTCACATATGTTAAAAGGAGATTTTTTTAAGCTCAATGTCAACTCAAATGCCAAAAGTGACTAAGTGGACTAAAGGTGAAATTGCCAACTTGCCTTAATCCTGCAGCTGTTCTTGATTCATGTATAAATCTGCTGCATTCACTTTCAAGGCAGAATCATGGCCCCGGTGTACCAGGGCCAGCTAGCAAGGTTCGTCCTCGGCTGAGAATGAGACCTGCAATCCTGGGACATGTATCCCTAGCAATTCCCTGTGTATGGTATGAAGAATACAAGAAGTGGGGAAAAACGTAAACTGCATTTATGCAGCTGCCACCCTGATTTTTTTTACAGGCTGGCTAGTGCTGGCAAGGAGTGGGGATGAGGGGATGGGGTGGGATGCTTGCTGGAATGGGGAGTCTGCAGCAGAAATTTTGTATGCTTCTATCAGAGCTCCACATGCACCTTCAGTGGTGTAGACCACACTGTGTTAACCACACTGAGTCATGCATGGAGTGATGAATAATCTCTCCCGTTTGCTACAAAGAGTGCCATAAAAAGATTCATCAAATTATCAGACAAATGTAGGCAGTCCATGCATGTGTGTGTGGTGAGGGAGCAGGGAGGATGTTCTTAGGCTAGGAATTATTATTCCTAGTTTTTGGTACTGAAGTGAGATTCCTAATGGGGAAGTCTCAACACTCAAATTCATTTGGATCATGGAGAAACAGTAGCTCCAGAGGACACCTCAGACCACCTAACATCTGACCCATCCTCTGGAGGAGCCTGGTGTACCTTGTTGCCTCTAGAGGGAAAGTTATATACCACACAGGTCTTAGTGCAGCACAGAAATTTTAGTGAAATAGTATTTTGGCATCTTCTGCCTTGAAGATGCTAAATGGTAATTCTCCACTGACCTTTCATGGGATTGGTGTGATTCAGTTACAGAATAAGGCTGTCTGGATTGCTTTACAAGTCACCTGCTGTTTCTATGGCATCTATAGGAAGAGGTTGCCCAGAGACATTTCCAGCCTAATTCCAGATGTGAAGAATTAACACAGGGTAGCTAACCAGAACATAATTTCAACCATAAGTTTCAAGAGCTGTTGCTGGAGCGCAATATGCTCAGGACTGGAAGTTAAACCTTTGTTCTGAAGAAGCAGCTTGTGAAAGAAAAATCAAAGTCAGGTGGCTGTGATCACTCGGACACTGAAGAGATAATGGATATTCAATATTTGAACATCAGAAAAGGTACCTGCGTTCCAACTTTATCCTTTCCTTCATGTAGGTTGCTGCCTCAAAACAAGTAATTCCAAAAAGCGGAGTATTCTGTATTTTTATTCATTACCTTACATAGGAATGCCTTCCACCTTGGGGAAACTGGCAGTCATACCAGCAAGATATTATTCTACCCAGAAGCCCAAATAATCAAGATCAGTTGATCATAATTTGAAAACGCTAGGTGCAAGACAGAGAGGGAGTCTGCCTATGGAGAGGAAGCAGTTTAAAGGTTTTGCCATAGTCAGGGTGGGTATCTATAGCCGTTCTAGCCTCACGTTGTTAATAATTCACACTCTTAACAGAGAAAAGCCTCCAGATACTTTAATCTAAAGGGCTTGTATGCATTCATATTATAATTACTTCTGTTAGTGTGTTTAGTAAGTTTTTTCACTGACTGGGTTGGACAGAATTAAGAGTGGAAAGTGCTACTGAAAAAGGGGTTTGGGTTCTCATTTGGGTGGTCAAACACACTGCTGTACTAAATGTTCACCCGCTTCGTGATGACTTTCATCCATCTTCAGCAGCGCCAGCTCTGTATGGCGTGCCGAGTTGGGCACAGCATAGCATTTTGAGTTACACAGGATTTTAGCACTCTCAGCCTAGATGACAGCTTTGACAGCTCGAGTCCAAATGTGAGTGAGTAATCAGAAAACTCTGTCAAACCTTTTCATGAGCGTGAAGATCTTAAAAGTTGACCCGGAAGATGACGGGGCTGTTGGATAAGGAAATACTCTGGCAGTGCAGGAGTTGTACCCTCTACTGCCATTGCTGCATTTTGGCACAGCCTCACTCATCTGTGCCTTTATTCCTTCACCCTTTGTCTCCCTCTCTTTTTTTTTTTTTTTATGGCTTTTCAGGCAGAGGTTGTTTCTTACTGTGTTTTTAAAGAGCTACAAATGAAATCACATTCTGAGAGAGAGCCAGTATATACTGCTGTAATTCAAATAAAAATAGAAATGTAAAGGTTGCAAAATAATGGATTTGAGTGAAAAAATGTGATTATGTTTTTTTTTTCTTCCAGAAAAGAGGCTCCAGACATCCCTTATAATTTAACTGTGACTGACAGTAGGAATAAGACAACCACAGTCAATTATGTCCCTGATACTTTATCAGACCTGTATGGCTGGGTGGTTCTTCTCTTGGATAAAGAGACTTACGCTCTGACATTTGACAATCCTTTGGTCAGCAAGCAGCTTCAGGTAACACATGCATTTTTTTAATTTGTAGATTGTATTTGAAAGAGATGCTTTCATCTTTCTGGGTGGGCAGAGAGAGGAAAAAAAAAGTTAAGCGCACTCAGAAAATCTTTCCATATTTATAGGCAGGGCTCTAATATGACAACCTAGTACCTGAGGCTCTCAGAAGTAACTTGGAGTAGGAAGAAGACTTTGGTTATTGTAAATGAAAGTTCACTTTAGTGATTAGAGATTAGAACAAAATTTATGCTATGTTAAGACATACTGAAGCATGGTTTTCAGAGGACATTATTCCTATGAACATTTTAAAGTAGCTAGGAGAGATGGCTTTGTCTGCATTCACTGTCACCTCCTGCTTAATTTTCCATACTGTCTTCCATGTTTCCTATAACCATTTTACAGGAAAATATGTTAAAAGTGAGTAGCACCATCGTCTTTATCCCTGCTGTTATACTGCACTCCACTGCAGTGTGGAGCTCTAGTCACAGACACGTGCGTGTTTGTTTTGCTTCCCTTTGCTCCAGTATTCAGTGACATTTAGCAACTTCAAGACGGGGAATTACCTTCTGGTGGAACACAAGAATCTTCCTGCCTATACTGAGGTCACGGTATCCTGTGGGACAAGGACTGGACGGCCACTCCAGTCACTCCCCTCCTACAGTCATCATCGGAGCTGTGACTGGTATCTCGATAGCAGATTGAGGAAGTTAACCTATTTGGGTAAGTGCAATAGAAGGAATGTAATGTACCTTTTTGTGTGAGAGCAGTGACAGAGCTGATGTCTTTTTAATCAAGGTCCTCAAACTTTGTAACGCCTTAAACACAAGGCTATCTTTCAAAGGCTTTTTAATAAGTGAGCGGTCTTTCAATAAGACCACTCAAATAAGTAAATGCATTCACATCAGGTACATCTCTATCTATCTGTTCTATCTGACGCCTAATCTATCAACAGGAGGAAGGTATCATAAATGGTGGATGATGTGGCGTCGGCGGAATTTGAATTGGTGCTTTGGAAAGAAAAAGACATTAAATTCCGTTAATGATCTCTGACGTCAGCAGGTCCCCCATCACATGTATCATCAATAAGCCATGTGAAATCTATATAGGCCGAACCTATTGAAGGCAATAGGATTACTGAGCAAGGATTCCTCCTGTGATTATAAACTCTCAGAGGTTTCATTGGTCTTTAGATCTGAGTATGCTGGCTTTTTGCACCAGATCGTGGAGCACAGTCCTCTTGTGTAGGATCTGTTTAGGGATGAGCAATTGGAGTAATAGCAGGCTAGTGAGGAGGAAGAGATGGCTGGAGTGCGGGCAAGCAACCCATGAAGCTAAGTTTTACAGCAATGAAAGTCATTCAGTGCACACGTGAGGAGAGACAGGGAACTCCATACCTTAACGCCAGTCTGAGTCACACTGGCTACATCCATCTCTTGTCCCGAGGCCAGCTGTCATTGCACATCCTGTGTCCATACAGCTTATATCTCTCAGAATAGGCTAGATGCACCCCAGTTTCAAATTAGGAATGATCCCTGTCATGTGAAAACTCAATCTATAATAGTCACCAGCTGGGAGAGTGCATTGGTCCAGGCTAAAACTATGCCAGGAACTGGGCCAACAATGTAACTACAGAGATGATTGGGAGCCAACATTCAGACCCAGGCCCTGGCCCTGTTTAGTCTACGAATACAGATATAGCTGCTGAGTCTGAGTTTGGCCCAAGATCATGCTAGATATCTACTGAAGAAGAAAATATAGAAGTTATTGCAATTTTCTAATAGTGCAGAATCATTCTTTCAGATATGGATGCTAATTATTGCTGAGTTTAGATATACTGAATTGCATTTTCAGACATGGGGAAGCATGGAAAAACTCAGAATACAACCCTATTTCTTGATCTGTTACTGCTGTTGAAAACAGAGGAGATGATGGTCTTGGGAAGACTGCGACATAGCAATCTGGTCAGCATGCGTTGCTCTTACAGAATCATTGGCACATTCTTGCCCTTCTTTTACCTTCTTTTCATTTTGATTTTATTATATGAAGAGCTGGTTGTTGTTTCTTGTTTTAATACAGAGAGAAACAATCACACAGAGTACATGAGGGGAAATTTATGAAAACACCTAACATGTATAATTCATGCTGTGAACATTTTCAGCACAGACTTTTATAGCAGCAAGATCAATAATTCAGTGTTGGGTCCCAATATCTACTGTTACAGTTAATATCACGACCTACTGTTGGTAGGGTAAAAGTCTGAAATAAGGTGGATAGATTCCTAGCCATGGTATGTGATTTAATCTCTATCCTAATCTCTGCTGTGCAGGGTGAGGGTAATTAGCCATCAGGGCAAACTGTCGTGGCATGTGGTGGACTTTCCATCGCTCAGGATCCTTAAATGAAGTTGGGGTGTCTTTTTAGAGATATATGCTTTAGTTCTATGAGAAGCTATTAGAAAAATCATGGGGTGAGGTTCACGCTCTGTAGGAGGTCAGAGAAAGCTGTCACAATAGTCCCTTCTGGCCTTAAAAACCTATGAATCCGCGCACCCAACCAGAGAGGACAACGCTGTAAGGTCTCGCCTTCAGAATGCTTTGCTGCCTAACTCCGCAAGCTGTTTTTATTTTTTAGTTACATTTAACTATATGAAATAATTAGTCAACTAATTAATCCCGTTTACAAGCTTTGTCGGATTCTTCAGCTGTCAGTCATGCCCAAGCCCCGGGCTGGCGTTTAGTCTCCGCTCTCTCCTTCATGTGACTTGGTCTCCATGGCTACAGGCTGCATCTGCTGACACCCCACTCTCTATTTACTGCTTAATTAAGAATTTCACGCTCAGCCCTTATCTGCTGCTAAGAACAAGAACACACTGTTAAGAAATTCCAAATTTAGGCTGCGGCACAAGGAAAGCCTTTCTTGTAGGGCCTGACTGCGTGGAGCCTCTTTAACTACCCTCTTGGCAACTGCGCTGCCACCCTTCAATCAAAAATCATTAAATGGGGCAGAGATAATGAGCATGTAGCATATCAAAAGGAGGATGTTTGCTTGGGCTGAGGAGGAAAAGCTGTAAGGGCCTATAAGCAGCCGCCACTTCAAAGGAAGAAGGGGGCTGATAAAGAGTCATTTGTTCCCGGTTGACTTATGTAAAAGGTCTGGTATGTTGGAGTCCCGTCTCGCAGACGCGAGTCCCCTCTCCCGGTGCTCGTGTGTCAGCGGTTAGGCAGCTGGGCCCAAACACCATCGGCCGGAGCATATAATCACTTGACTCCGCGTTGACAATGGACACTTGTAGGGGGTGGCCCGGGGAGGGCGGCAGGACAATAGGAACACAATTATTGCAGCTGCTGGGGAGGGCCATAATTCTTCCCGCGGAAAGTAGCAGGCCCTCGTAGGGCTGAAGGGAGAACTTGGGCGTATTATTCATCTTCCTGACTTTTGGGAAGCACTTTGCCGTGCCAGTGGGGTTTCAACAGCTGCTTGTGTACCGCCGCTTTCCAATAATTGTACATTCTGTCAGGGGTCAACTTACTTTTGACCCGCTCCCTTTGTGCCGCTTAAAAAGCCTTTTAGGGCAAACTGTTGGGAAGTGGCAGGGGTGCATTAAATCCAAAATTAATGTCAGTAAATACATATCAGATGCCGGCTCATTCATGAGCAGGCTCCTAAATTCACACAGCCTTTTGCTCAGGACCGCATGGAGGGGAGAGGGGGAAGAAGGGGAGGGAAGACAGAGCGACTGAGAAGATATTGTTATTCAAACGAAGCAGGCAGCTGAATGAAGCCACCTTGGCCCGCGGTTTGTGTCCGTCTCAGTCGTTCGGCATGCCCCCGTCATCTGATCAGGCGGGGAAAACGCCCAGCGTCGTGCACATGTTCATCTTTGGGGGAGAAGAAATGAGTGCCTGGTACAAAAGGCAAGAAAATGTACAGTTTGGAGGGGATTAAAGGAGTTAAGTTGCCCTAATCCTTTGTGTGCTTGCACTTTTGTAAATTAGACCTTGCCATGGGACAATGCAAAGGACCCTGAATGTGGAGAAATAGTTGTAATGTACAGTAAGGGGAATCTGGGATCCAGTGTTTCGGCTATGTGGAGTACCTATGCAATAATCCTGTTATAAAAGCTGCTTACTGCTACCTACACACATCAACCCTGTTAACTGAACCCCTTTGAAAATTACCTTTTCAGACCATTCAAAACAGTTGGTATCAAGGACAGATAACACCCCTTCACTGCGGATGCTGGGTGAAAGGGAGATGAGGATGCTTGGAGCACCCTGTGCCGAGGCAATCTGGGGAGTCAAGTAATTTCTAGATCTGCAGCTTTGCTCTTACATTAATCAGTCTCTATAGCGCCATCCTTATTTTATCTGGGGTACCCTTCCTTTAAGAAGGATTTCTTAAAGGTCACTGATGGGCCCTGAAATAAGTGTGTGGCTCTATGAAGGACCCTATGGTTATAGCTCAACCACACATATCAGGAGAGTGGTCTTAATGTGATATAACTGTACCCAGTCAAAAAATCTTACTGCAACAAGGAGGAGAAAAGAAATATCGCTCTGGGACAACAGAGATATTTTAGGAGAAATATCTTGTGTGAATTACAATAATAACATGATGATCTTTTTAAATCTGTTACAAATATGAGCATATGGTACCACAGCATGGTGCTGCTCCCTGGTTAAGGTCTCTGGGCAATACTGGAACTGGCTGAAAAACAGAGAAATTTTGTTTCTTTTCTGTTCACTTTTGAAATGTTTAAATTATTTTCTGTTGGAACGAAACAGAGTGTTGGCTTGCTCCATCTGCAGATTTCTCTTGGCCTTTTTCTGAAGTTGAAGTGCTTGTCACAACATTATTGAAAACATCACTGAAAGGATTATCAAACTTTTCATTTACCCCCAATACATTTTTCAGTAGACACAACTTTTAAGGAGGTAGGTCATCCTGCTGACTTTGCTCAGGCTGCTCATGTGTGAGTTGTTAAGAAGGCCCGAGGCCTAACCTTGTATTACTGCTGTGTCAGAAGCAGGTCTGCAGTTTCCATAGTTCTTCAAAAAAATAATTTGATTACACTTATTGTCTCTATAAATTCCAAAAGAATGATCTCACTTCCATTTTGCTCAGTGGGTTTCTGCAGTTACTTTGTGTAGGAGAAAAGCAGACCCTTAAGAACGTTTGTTTCTAATATTAAAATATAGAAAATAAATAAACAGGATATTTTCCTCATCCTTATTGCTCAAGGATAAAGGAGGATCTTAAGTGAAAGTCCTGAAGAATGGAGTTAATCTCTGTGAGGGAACTGGTTGTATAGGCACGAGTCTTTTCTTCCAGTTAGTTAAAATTCACGCTATATCAGTTGTTTCAGGAGGGCCATGGACCAGATGCAGGCTGCTCACTGGCTTATGTGAGCCGAAATGCATGCGTTCACCTCAGTTCTTAGGTAATAATGCCCTCAGTAACTGACACAAAGAGAAAAATCTACTTTCCCCTGGAAGACAAGCTGCTGTCCTTCTGGCATGTCAGCAGAGAGACCAGAGAATCAAGAAATTACAGAAATAAGATAACGAAATGCCTCAGTTAACCTCTCAGGGACAGTCTTTGGACTATGCGATGTCTGCAGGAGGAATTTCATGCCTTCACCTCTGTCATTCCCAATATTAATCGACTGTAAGCTGGAATCAGTCTCCATTAGTTGAAATCTTATGTTTTTATATCTCTGCTCCTCACTGCAGTATCTCTACAGTACTATATTCCTGGGTATGTCCTATAAGAGTCCCTGGCAGAGTGTGGCAAAATATCCTGGTCCAGGTTCTCCAGTTTCCGGAAGCCTGTCTTGCTGTGTTGTTGATTGTAGTGTCTAAAAGTTTTGATTTCTGTGTGATGTATGTTAGCCCAATTGATGTTAAATAGCACTGAGTTGCTTGTTATTTGTAAGTTGGGCTATTGGAGCCATTTATCCTAGTTTCAGCCTTTCCTAATATCCAGAGGCAAAATTCCCTGTCACTGCAAAGCTGATAAAAGACTAGGTTGCTCCTCCTTCATGTTCACTCAAGGAGCCTTAAACCAGAAGAAAGTTACCAGGAATATAGTCAAGCAAGCCTATATTTATGATTCACAGGCCAAACATCCAGGAAGAGCTGTAATAAGACAGAAAATTGATGAACCTTATAAAGGTTTTATACAGCTAAACCCCGGAGCCTTACAACTACATTTTGTAAAGAATCACCTTAATTCAATGTTTACTAATGACGTCCTTCATCTGTATTGCCTACATCTCTTCCTGTCTGGTACAAAACCAATGATAACATACTCAATAGCCAAGCAAAACAACCAAAAGAACTATGTCACTGTAGTCTTGATTATTCTCAAGGCTTGTATCTCTCCAGCTTTGATCAGTTTTTTGGAGTGCTTGTGGAAAAAGGCAATAAAATACTAGTGATTCAAAATGCTACTGATTCGATTGACATAAATAATTGTGCAAGTTCCAGACTGTGGGGAGTTCAGACCCACATTCTTTTATTCATGTGTAGGGTATAGCTGGCTTATAATGGATTGAATTGTCATCCCATGTGGTTGGATGACACTTAAAATATGAGAAACTTTTATCCTTGCCCTGACTCAGAACACGACTGTTACATCATAACAGTTCCTTTCTTTACTAGGCAGACTGAACCCCTTTATGAGGTCTATGTAGTATATCAGTCAAATTTTGTGTCAGACAGGAGGAGAGCTTTTCCTTGAACAATATAAACACCCTTAATTAGAGAATTACACTACCGTTCCTGCAAAATCAAGCAAAAAATGACAAAATATATTTATCAAAAAAAGGATAGTGTCAGGGCTTGGTTCTCTCCCTCCCCTTAACACTGCTGTCTCTTGATGTACCACCTTTGACTTATGATTTGCCCTGTTATGAGTTAGAAGAGAGAAAGCAACCTCACTGATAACACATCTCATCCTTGATGTTTATCATAAGATAGATGAACAGTTCTCTTGAGAAGCCTTCAGTGACATTACTGGAATCCAGGCTGACCAGCTTGCAGCCATTTAATGTCAGGTGAGAGGAATGCCATCTGCAAGGGTTGTTGTTAGGGGAGATAAATACCCATGTAAGAGTATCATCTTAAAGCCACATGAACTCTGGGCTAAACATTTTAAATTAGCTGCCTGATATCATTCTTTCTCCTCTAAGGTTCGCATTATGACCACCCAACAATATGATGTTGTTCAATTTGAGCTCTATATGAAGATTTGGGGCAGACTGGCTTAAGTGAATATGGATCAGACCGGAGCTACCCCTGGGAGAGAAGGTGTCACTGAAGAACAGGGCTGAGGCACCTGATTACTAATTAATCAGACACGAGAAAAACCTTATGGAATCGGTTTCTATTTAATTATGGAAGCCTCATTTGGCATAGGAGCATATGCTGCTAACTCAATCGAGTGCTTTCAACTGACATCAAATAGTAATTATCAGAAAGAATCAAGTTTTTTGATTATTCATACTAATTTATTGAACACTTAAAATTAATGAACCTCAGTTATTTTAAATTTGCTCAGTTGCACTGGGAGAAAAGGAGGGAGGTAGAGAAGGAGGGTTCTCACAATTTAAAAATACAGAGACTTGTTTAAAGATAAAATAAGTAAATTACAATATGGCATGAAATCCCATTGGTGGACTGAAGGAAAGTTCCTGGTGTGTTCTGGACCTGAGGGAAGTTCTGACAATAGCTTATTTATACAAATCTTTTACCCCCAAAATCTTCCAATGACATGTTAGAGTCTACCTAATGGGTTGCACAGTGGACAGGAGATTTATTTGTTTGTCAGAGTGTTTCTATTTTAGCCTCTGATTGTTCCAGTCTGGTGACTGAAAGGAAGTGCCTTTATATGCCACTGGAGATGAAGAAAAGGTAGCCTTTTAGCTAGGTCTGATGCAGAGTTTTCTTCTGCCACTCCTAGTTTGATTTGCATTATCCTGGCCCTTCTGCTGCAGAAAGGTTACAACTGTGATAATTGCTTCTGACCTCCTTTCACAGCGCAGAACACAGGGTCTCTGTCTTCTGTCTAAGTCTGACTAATTAAAGCATCTCTTTTAGGTACTAGTTTTGAAAAAAATATTCAAAACCAAGCTACAAGGAAAAAAAGCTGGAATTTACTATTTGAGCCAGTTAGTACATTGCGCATTCACTGATGCAACAACACTTGCGCTCGTGAAGCTGCTGTGGATATATAGTGGGATAAATGAGATTCATGTTCCAACCTAGAATTTCTGATTTTTGAATGTTTTCTTTTAGCTGTTTCTAAGTTGTCAGGAGATTCCCCAGTATCTGTAAATTAAAATATATTTATTTATTTAATCCTTTCACAAAATACAAAAAGAAAAAAAAATGCTTAGAAAACATGGGTAGTTCTTAAAAAAAACTGTTATTAGAAAGGTATAATGTTATCAGAAAAACGTGTAGCAACTGATTTACTATCATTTTTTTGTTAATTTGTAAGGCTTTTCTGTAACTCTCTGCAATTCTCTGTGTTTAGTCACAGGAGCTGACTTAATTCAGGTCACACTGGAAGAAAAAGAGAGTGTCGCTTTACCTACATCAGGTGCGTGACCGTCTCTGGCTGAAAGGTTTGGTCTGAGTCACACAATTTCCTTTTTACTACTTTTTCAGAAATACGTTGTTATAATTCACTTCAATATTTTGTACATCTATCAACCCAACAGGGGTTCTTGGCATTCATTTAAGCATTTCATTGAGCCATATCTACCATTGCACGTGATAAATGTGTGAATCCACATGATAAAAGACTATAAACTTTTGTTAAGAAATACCATAGCAGATCAGAAAGGTCACGGAGAATGTAAGACTACAATGTATTTTAGTGCTTTAGAGTGATCTTAATGTAATAGTCTGACAGTATTGCCCCGTTTTACATTGAGTCAGACAGCATAATAGACCAGAGAGAGGGGAGATGTCCAAAATTTAGTTTTAGGTGCATAGTTGCCTTGCTGTGTATTAACAACAGTAATCATTGGTGGAGCAGTCAGCCTTAGAGATCATTTTTTGGAGCATTTCCCCTCAAATAGACAAATAATGGAAAGGCAGGCCCTGCCGTGAAGAGCTCTGCCTTGGTTTAATTGCTCTGCATTTCCCTACGCTGGTGGCAGAAAGCTTGCGATGTTTTTCTACTGTTGTGACGCGCCACTAGAGGGGCGTCCGGGATTCTTTCGTGTGCTGGGATTAGTTGCACTGAACTCGAGAGATCATTCTTTGTCAGATGTAAGAATTTATTAGATCTAAGCGGTTCTACACATATGACGGACACTGGACAACACTAAACCATTAACAGCAGACAATCTACAAGTATAACAAAGCTAAGAAGCATAGTAAAGAATTAAAAACCCACACATATCAGAGCTCTATGGTTAAGCCACGGAAGCCCAGTACAATGACCGCTCTCGGATGCACGGTATAATGACCGCTCTCGCCCTTTCCTTGTCCTTATGGGCCACCCCTCCGGTATAGTTTTCCCCGGATTGTTCTCACCACGCTCGAGCTGCGCCAAGAGGATTCAGGTTCTCTCTGGCAGCTGGCATCAGGGGTGTCCCCGCTGATGGGTGGGTTGTGGGGTCCGCAGGCCAGCTGACGGTGAGTCCGAGTCCACACAGAGGTATGTGGCTTACTTCCTTTGCTGGACAACGGAACAGATGGTCTTAGGTGATAACAGTATGGATGCCGACAGGATGGTCAACAGGATGCTTATCAGTACATTCAGCAGCTATCAGTGCGCACAGTCAGCAGCTATCAGTACGCACATTCAACAGCTATCAGTACGCAATTCCAAGGTATCTAGATGCTTACAGTTTGAGTCTGCGGTGTCACTTCTCCTTTGCTGACTAGGTTTGCTCTGCACTCATGAGGCTACGGCAACCCCACAGTGTGGTGGCTCTGGCCGTGGTGCACCCGGGGTTCCTAAACTCTTGGGGAGCACCCCAGAGTGAACCCCTCTTCTACGGGCTGCACCATCCTGAGTCCCATGCTTGCCTGTGTGGCGCCTATCAACTGTACAGAGTTATTCAGTGAGTTCTAGTCCATCTCACTTATGTATGAGCTTTTCCCTATGTTTTCAACACATGATGAATCCCTCCTCAAGTAAAAATGCCAGAATTTCCTTTACAGTCCTTTATAGGATAGAGGTAGGTGCTTATGGAGGCCTCCAGAGGGAGGCCCTGACTGCCTTTGTTTAGGGATTACTAAACTTTTTGTGCAGGATTTTCCTGTGCTGACTGCAAACTAAGCTGATTTTGGCAATTCATTTATGAAGACTGGCTCATTAGCTGTCTAAAATTGAAGTTCACGTTAAGGAACTAAATTTTTTGAACTTGATTTCTCCCAGTATTTCAAGATGCTAGTGCCAGGAAGTTTCATGTTGGATCAAGCTGAGAAATAAATCTTTATGGAATCAGCAGCAATTGCTATGTGTCCCAAGCCAGGTCTTCATTACCCCAGGAAATGTGAAGACTTCTACTTTTTTGTGGACTTTCAACATTGTATGAAAGTCTTGAAAGTCTTTCAAGACTTTGCCCACCCTGGGAATTCAATCTGTTTTCTAGAGCACTGGAAGGGAAAAAATGTGTGAGAAGAGCTGGCACTTTTTGGTGGGGTTAGTTGTTATTTTGATTGTCTGGTTTTGCTAGCAAGCATGGGGGACTAGTTTTCTTTTTCATTTGTGCATTTTAGCTTTGTGTTCAAATTAACTTTGGATGGTGTAAATAAAAATAAACGAAGCAATTGTTTGCGAAGCATATTCACAAGGTAGAACATAAAGTAAGTATGATGGCATACCTCAAGATTTACTTTGCTTTTGGTGAGTCCCAAAGAGTTTGAATCTGTTTTTCAGTTATCTCCCTGCTCTTTACTGCTGAAAAGATGGTCCTGGAAGAGCTGACTTTTTTCCATAGGGCTTCCTTAAAGCATGAAACATCCCAAAGAGCAATTAGTGTTTCTTCATCAGTGACAAAAGGAGATGTTAATGCCACAAGTGCTTGACTATCGAAGAAATGGTATTTCTTCTAGCTAGTGAAAACAGTAATTCTCTCTTTGTATATGCTGTTTTGTAGTTCCTTCTGATGCTGTCTTGAAATGGTCGCACCCCGAGACATGGAATGATGTGGGAAAAGGCTGGGGTGGATCCAACAGCAGCATCCCTGGCCCTGGGGAAGATGTCATCATCTTACCTAGTAAGTAAGGAAGGAACAGTCTTCAATTTCTCTGGTGGTGCTGGGGCCTGTCTACTGTAGGATGAGTAGCTGTGTTGCAATGTGTGCTCATTGGCGCTGATGTCCATTCTAGTATGTGCAGGCCACCACATTTGTTCCTAGTCACATTTACTCTAAGCTACAGCACAGAAGTATGATTTTGGAACAGAATACTCATTCTTTTCCATTTACACAAGCACACACAAACCCTTACTTACCCACACTGATATTCAAGCTTGATTTTGAGCAAGGGCTTTATTTCTGGAGCAGAGAATCTGCTAGACTCAGAATCACAGCTCACAAAGACATCATTTCTTGACCTACCTCTCTGGGTTTTTGTGCATACTTCACGTTCCCACAATTGTACCAATTTCCGTTTTATTTTCCCACTGCATTTTCCAGATTATCAATGATTGTCTCTCAGTGTGTTTGCAGTGGATGCCTTCTAGAAGTTTTAGCCTATGTCTGTATTTCAGCCTCAGACCTGAGTTGCATTTAAAACTCAACTTCGTTTAAAACCTTATTATGTGAAAGTTATTTGTATTCTAGCAAAGATATCAGGCAACCTGCAGTGATATCTGGAGGAGAAAATTTGCTATAACCACTGCACCTCATAGCTGACCCGGCTCTGAGCAGGAGTTTGGACTGGATGATCTCCTAAAGTTGGACTTGATGACTTCTTGAAGTCCCTTCCATTCCACTGTGAATACTGTGTAGTATGTGTCTGACATACGCTGGCACTTCCTCAGAATTTTTGTGTGAAACCATGTAAATCTGTCTGTCTGCCTCTATCCCATAGTTAAGACTTCAGTGCTATCCCATAGTTAAGACTTCAGTGTGCTATGTCATTAAAAATAATGTGTCATCTACATACTAAAACCCATCAGACTGATAGACTTTAGGCTTGTCTAGCTAGGAGCTAAGCACAGGGAGAACAGGGAGGGAAGAGAAAGGGTCTCAGGGAAGTGGACTCAACTTGGGATTTGTCTTCTCACTTGTTCAGATGGTATGTAATTCTGTTGATCTTTTTCTATGTTTCAAGGTCTATATGTTTATTCAGAACTTCTCCGACCAGCTAGGTTTTGCTTTATGCAATATTTTGGGGATTTGGAAGTTCTTTTTGGTGCTTTCTCCAGGTCTGAAGCATATTGACATTGTTACTATTGAGTTAGGTCGTATTTTATTTTCCTTATTGTGCTTCCAGAATGCGTCCTAGGCATCAAATCTAAACAAAAATAACTGGCAAAAACCCTATGCATATAGCAAAAAGGAATGTAAATTCTTAAAGAATTATTATTGTTGTAGAATTTTGTTGCTATCACCTTGCTTCTCAGCGCTCCCCTAGCTTCTGTCACAGAGCCAATCTATATTCGAGTTGGGTGAAAGATTTTTAGCAGAGACATTCCTGTTCCACCATTTTCTTTTTAATTTGCCTGAATTGTAAGCTTACTGAAATATTTTGTGAAATTATTCTAATTTCAGCAAATTTTTTCTGTCAAAGAAAGACCAAAAATGCTTAAGCATTAATAAAATGAGGATATTTTCTTTTTATTTTCAAAGAGGGATGATTTTAAAGTTTTAAATTTGAAATATTATTTCATTTGGAAGTATACTTACAGTTAAATTTTTAAAATTAAAAAGAAAACCAAACAAACCCAAACTTTCTTAGGATCTAATATATAAGTTCACGTTAAATAAAGAAATATATACAACCTTCAATGAATATTTAGTTTAATCTTCAGTCTTCTGACAAATGTTAAAAAATGTGTTCATTTTGGATCATCTTAAAGTAATGCTTAAAGTCCCTTGCTTTTGGGGAGATCTTACACTGAATTGAAAAATAGATAATTTCCACTTTTCTGATTAGTTTTCTATCTCCTGTCAAACCAGGGCAATTCATTTTTTTTCCAATTCTATTATCTCACTATCACTAATGAATAAATGTGGTTAAGCATTTGTAAAATCACAGTCCAGAAAAGCAAGAGATGTCCTTCCAGAGGTTTGCTGATCACCTGTAGGTCCTGCATCCTATCTGCCAGCCCCATTTGATTGCCACATCCGAGATGATAGGAGGATCCTATGTTTAGGCATCTCAATCTGTTACTGGTCAGCATAGTCTGAAGAGTTACTGAGTGGACCAAATGTGGGTATCTACTGTAGCGTGAATTGAGTTGCTTTTTAGGATTCATTGATGGTATTAAGTAGAGCTCCAGGGGTCAAGTTAGCTGGTTTTATGAAGATATCTTGTGTCATTTGAGATACCCTAGGACCAACCTGCCTGTTATCTAGGTGTCTCCCTAGATGGGCATAGGTCTCTCCTATGTCATATTTGCCAGTGCTGTTCGGAGGGTCTCAAAAAGCCAAGGACATTTTAGATAACACTAAATGCCTAAATGAGTCAAGTGTGTTTGGGGCTTAAACACTTAGTTCTCATTAGACAGCTCATTTCAGTTTTTTTTTAAGTTGAGACCTGAATCTCATTCCTCCAGACCATGCTCAGGAGCACATGAGAGAAGAGCTTAACTTGCAGTCAGTATATGTCCTCTAAACCATGTTATAAAGGTCCATATCTATGCTCGCTGGTTCCTACTCCATGCTGACCTCCATTACATCTGCTACCTTTTGCAGGCATTAAGCAATGGACCATTTCCCATGTGGTTTGCTGTCTCTCTGATCCCCTTGCCACGGTTGGATTATGTGTACTTTGTTCTTCATAACTCCCAGAGAACATGGCCAGAAGGCAACGCCAGATCATCTGTTTCAACTTCTTGTGCATCACGTTATACCCGGTTTACCAAATACCCCTAGTTTGAGCCCATGATTCTTAAAAGACCAAAACATTTCAGTCTTCAAAAGCTGTAAGTGAGAGTCAAAGGCAGCTATGAAGAGACAGAAAGGTGCCACTGGTAGCTGAGGCCTCTATACAGAGCACAAATTGATTACATAGGATGCGCTGTGATGATCGTAGGTGGTAAACACAACCTGCAATGAAGCACAACATTAAAAAAAAAGTGTTATTTAGATTAGGTTAGAAAATGGAAAATGAATGTTGAGGTTGTGATGATCCTTTACTGCATTGCGAATTCACCTGTGAATCAAACTCCACTGTGTTTCTTGCAAAGGCTTTATCCTCTCCGTAGAGTATCTCATTTCAGCTGCCATGCAAGGTATTGACAATAGCCTTTGTCAGATAATACAAGACCCTTCATGATTAAGCTGTGCGTGCAGCATTGCAGCGAGATGCCTACAGCCCAGCCCAACCAGTCTCGTTCTAGAACTGGAAACAGCATAGCTGCATCAGCATGCTGATATAATAATTAGCTCTCCTGAGATGCAAAGCTCATTAGCTCAGGCCTGCTGCTGTGCTAGCATGACTGCACAGCCTTTGGGTCAGCTCAGACATCCCCAGAATTTAGAGCAGTTCTGGTCAGCTTAACTGAAGAGTCCTTGCATTATGCTGCAATGGTACGGTATAGGGGATTCTCCTTAGCATATTGGTGCCTACTGGTTTGTAGGGCACAGGGTAGGAATTGCACTATTTGACACGATCTGTGTTGTTCCTTGGTTAGGAATATTTTCTGCTTATGAGGAGTCGAGGGGCCAAGACAATAAAGTTTACTCAATACCAAAATGCAAGTTGATGCCTGAGCAGGATTAGATGCTTCAGTTTCCTGGTCCTGAATCCCAGTGTTCAGCTGCCGTGTATAGCATGCTTCAAAGTGTGAAATAAAACTACCTGTGCTCTAGAGAAGAGCCTTATTATATGACTAAACCACAGCAAAATATTTCGTGACTGGGATGGAAAAAGGCATGTGACATGTGAAAATACATTTCCTGCTAGGTCTGGTGAAGCATGTTTGTCTCTTAGCCATACTCTTTGACTGTCTTTCTGGTAACAGCAGTAACAGTCCCCCTTAGCTCCTCTCACTGGAGTATGCATGCAGTGGAGGTGGGTCTGTCATGTTAAGGTAACTTTCAGTGTTTGTCTCCTCAGTGTCTGACTCCCTAGCAGATGTAAATCTGTTCCAGCCCCAGCTAGAAAGCTTTAGCTCAAACTGGAACAACTTGTTGCAGTCATCACACAGGGACCTTTCACGTGCAAGAGTTTTCGGCAATTCCACCACCTTGAAAAACAAACTGGGTGAGTTTAGTCATGCCATTCTGGCAGTCAGCAGTGGCATTAGCTTCTCAAGCCCTCGGATTTTCAGAGCTTTGGTTCATGGTTTTCAGTATGACACACTCCTGACACAGTGCGCTCTGGGTGGAAGGAGAACGTGTTATAATTCCGGGCGATGGAATGTTGTTTTGAAGGGTATTGATATGATATCATGTAGCCTCTGGCAATTTCTTTTCTCTCTTTCTCTCTCCTTTTTTTTTTTTTTTTTTTT